TAATCTCCAGGTTACTTATAATTCCAAATACAATGTAAATACTATGTAAATACTTGTGTTACATATTTAATATGTAAATAGTTGTTTTCTCTATTGTTTAGGGGATAAAAACAAGTAAAAGAAAATATGCCCATATTCCATACAGATAAAATGTTTTCATGTGTTTGTGATCTAAAATAAATTGAATCTGGAAGTAGAACCTGCAGATGCAGCATCTGCAGATATAGAATAAAAACTGTATTTTTTAAATCTGAAAAACATTTAGAATATATATATACATATACTACACATATATAATTTCTGCATATTTGTAAGTACTTATGCATTATTTGATTAACACAAAACAATTCTTCTGAAATGACTTTTAGTTTTTTAATTAAATGTTTTCCTTAATTTAAAAAGCATTTAAAAAACTTAATAAAATATAGTAAAGTTTAAGTTTTCAATATAAGTAGAGAGCAGGAATGGTATACTATAACCGATTCTTCAAAAATTGCTCTTATATCACTAGATGAAAATAATATTCAAGATAAAGTTTAATCAAGTATGCTTTTCATTGGAATAGTCATAAGTCACTACCTAATGAGTATTTTAATGTATTGTATTTTCTTCTAAATTTTTTAAAAATGGTAAACATAGAAATAATGCATAGACTAAAAATAATTATGATTTTACTTGTTGTTTCAAAGTGCTTATTCCTAGGCCATTGAAGCCTGTCAGCATATTTTCAATCTAATATACCAAGGTCAAATACTCTCTAGAGATGTTTCTTAATGGAATTTTCAGGCGAGTCTATGCTATTGTACAGTAGACTAAACAATTTGATGACCAGCACATTTAGGATATTTGTTATATAATTTCAGAGAGCTTTGGAAATCCAGGGGGACCTTTTTAATGCTAAATACCATCTTTGGTTCTTCTTTCTAAAGAAAAATGGAAAATCATTTTGCTGACCTTTTTTAAACAGAGACAAAGTTAAGATAAATTTTAAGTATAAATTTAATTCTTTCAGTAATTTCTTCAATAGGCTTAAAAGCATGTATGAAAACATTCAAATGGACAGTGAGGAAAACAAGATAGAGTGCCTGAAAGAACTGAGCTATCATTCATTTGTTAACAATTGTGCAAACATCAATATTATTAAACAATGTTATAGAAGGCAAATCATCCAAACTTATGAATACAACATTAAATTTAAAAGAATTTTGTTATTATAATAAAGGATATTTTAAATCATGTTGTATTTTAAATAATGTTGTCTTGAGCCATTTTATTATTATGGCAAGAATACTCTAGCATTTATCAAAATGAAGTTTGATAGAGAATTCAGTCCATTAAATCATTTCCTTCCTTGTATTCTGTCTTGCTTATTGTGTTTTTCTTTTATTTCCCCATTTCTTTATCCAGTGCTTCTTTCTACATCTCATTTTTTTGACTCCTTTCACTTCCCTGCCACATTAATGACTGTTATTAAAAAAAAAAAAAGTCTTCTCTTTGTATTCCCAAAGTCTCTAACCTGGATATTTTGATGAGATCATCTTATTTGCCAAACATATGAAATAATAAATATTAGTCTTCTAACCTAGACTCTTTCCAAAAGCTCATTTCTGGTGCCTGTCACTTTCCAATTAAATTATCACTAAATTTCAAAAATTCATCAGCAATATCTGGTAAATCTCTTTTCTCCTCTGCAGCATCCATTGCTAAAGCCATCAATAAGATAGATAAGATCTATTATTCTAGTCAATGATATCCAATGGATTTTCTGCAGTGATAAAAATATTCTTTATCAGTGTTGTTCAATACAGTAGCTATTATGATAATTATTGAACACTTGAAATGTAATTAGTACAATTGAGGCACTGAAATTTATTTAAATTCAATTAACTTTAAATTTGAGTAGTCACACATGACTGGAAACTGCAGTATTGGACAGCACAGCTCTAGAATATTTTCTGTCTGAATTGATCTCAGAAGCTCCAGGATAAAGACTTTCTAATTGATCTGAAACAGGAGATGGTACATTTTACTCTGCCATTTAAAGTCTATCAATATCTATTCCTATGCTAATACTTAGTCCATATTTTATAGACACACTTGTATAGTCCACTTTGATCTGGTTCCATTATACTTTTCCAATCAAGTTTCCATACATCTCATTCTTACTTAATCAAAGTCATCAAATTGATTTATTTTTGGTCTGGATCCATAGCTTATGCTTCCTCTAAACTCATAATTTCACTGATATAATATTATCCTCTAGAAATTCCTTGTTCAATCTATATTTCCAAATCTTCTTAGATGTGAAACTTTAGCTTGAATTGTCACTTATTTCACCAAGATTTCTCCAATTTCCCCTGCTAGTTATCTATCATTATTTCCTCTTGACATATATTTATTCCATATTCACATAAGTTTATAATCTCCTTGAGGGCATGGTCTATATCTGACTTATCCATAATCTTCAGTCTTTGATCCACTGGATCATGGAATATTCAAAACAACCAGTTATCAAGTGAATAGATAAATAATAAGTAAATGAATAAGGATATTTAAATTTGAAAATTTTATTAGCAACACAAGAACATTTCAAATGAAGTTAATTAAGCCATTAGATAAATATGAACTTATAAATGGGTATATACCATATATGGAGACATGTTATCTACATGCTCACAAATATGCAAACAATCTGATTACAATTTAAATGATTTGCAAATCTGATAAAATTTTATATGCATATGTAACATACATTATTGTTTAAATATGTCCTGCAAAAGTATTTCAGATAATTAACTGTTTTCTACTTGCCACATGGAAAGCAATCTTAACCGTATAACCATATACTACAAAACAAAACATTGTGTGGAATATTATTATAAACCAGAATATTTTGTTAAGCTGAGAAGACTTTTCCCATCGTGAGCTTTTGTTTGCTAACTGTATTCAGTTCAAGTGAACTGTTCAATGTTATTAAATTATAATGTATTGAATTATAACAGTTACTAATATATTTAAAATTTAATAATCCATTTAATATTTTGTGATTAAAAAAAGAAAAAGAAAAAAAATTAAAACAAAAAATTTCTCATTGGCCTCCCTTTGCAAACATCACAGCAGAAGTAACTTTTCTTTTAGACCAGGAACACATTGTCTCTCTTACCAATAATCACTTTGCATATAAGGTCACTGAACCAAGGAGCCTGATATGGAATCTTAGTCAGGAACTCTTATGCTTTGATGGTCAGTGTAGGTATGTTCCTGCTGCATAAGCAGCCCCAGATGCAGAGCATCCAATTTTCTAAGACCAGGTGCAAAACATCAGTCTCACTATCCATGAATAATGCAGATATACAAATCATCACAGAACTCCTCAGACTCAGAGAGAGCCTACATACTGGGAGCAAATTTTTAGCCCTCATACAACACTAGTAGTTAGTGTAGTTTATGCCTCAGCCAAGGTCAGTCCTGTGCAAGTAACTTTTTTATTTCAGCAGAACAAATCAGAACAATTTGAGATCTCTAGGAACTAACACTCATGTCACAGAAACCAAATAATTGGACTTACATCTTACAACATAAAATGGTGGCCAATGATTAGTATTCAAAATATGAAACTCAAAATTATACATAAACACACATACACATACACACATACTAATTTATTAATGATTTAGGAATGGTGTAAAACATAATACTCCAAAGATTGCCAAAAATTTTAAAGTATGTTAGAAAACAATCAGTATTCAGAAAATTGAAAGAACTCATCCTGCCATGATGGTGTAAAATGGCAGACACGAATAAAGTTAATTCAACAAGCTTTGAAATAATTAAAGGATGTTTATACTTTAACTCTGAATTTTACAGAAATATACTAGAGAAAAAGGGGAAAGAGTTGCATGATTTTATAATGTAACATTGTCATGAAAAATTAGAAGTCGTATACTGCCTGTGTAAAAAAAATAGATCAATAAATTATGTATCTCATTAATGAAGTATTTATCAGAGGTTAAAATAAAGAAGTACTCATGTATAATGAGTCAGGATTATAATGTGTATGTGCTATTAATACTTTTTTTTTTAAATTAATTTTCTTAGTATGCATGAGGCCCTGGTTTTGATCCCAAACACATCAATAAGGAAGGAAGGAGGGGAGGGAGGAGAAGAAAGAAGTAAAATTTCAGAAAAACACAAATGATATTGCATCCCTTTTATGAAGCTTGAAAAACAAAATATATAATACATTGTTCGTGGATCCATACACATGTGATGAAATAGAAAAGTTAGGAAAGATAAACACCATGATCTAGATAGTGTATACTTCTGAGGAGAGAAGAAATGTTCTCAGCAAGGAGTCAAAAATGATTTATTTCTTCAAAAACAAAGACTTGTGGTGAATATGGTAAATAATAACTCAACCATTTGGAAAATAAAAACTGACTCCCAGAATGTGAGTCATAGTGAAGTAAAAAACTTGAATCTAAAAAAAAAATATTCTAACAAATGTATAGTGAGGCCATGGACTTCAAACTGTTCATTCACCAAATGTAAAAACTGAAGAGTAAAACAATGATTTTAAAAACTAAAATGGATTGTGTACATTTTACATAAGGAAATATGCCTGGGTTCCTTAATAAATTCTTCCTAAAGTTATTGCCTGGTTTTAGAATGTGACCCAGCCTTGGAATAAAAACCGAGAGAAGTATCCTAAGCTGCCAGCCACAGTGGAAACATTTTCAAAATCAAGAGCAGTTAACTTGGGTGGCTCCAGTTGTAATATTTCTCAACAATATTCACAAACAGAAAAAAGCTCTGCCTGAAATAATAACTGATGTTAGGAATATGTCAGAGTTAAACAGAAAGAAAATCTGACATTGAAATAACATTTTTCATGATTTATAGTCTGTCCATTGTAGGTAGAAATGTGAGGAAAGTAAGAAGAATTTAAAGTAGAGAAAATAAAGATGAAGAACAGGATAATACCCCCAAAGTGAAGCAGGGTGCTCACTTCAGCAGCACATATACTAAAATTGGAATGATGCAGAGAAAATTAGCATGGCCCCTGTGCAAGGATTACATGCAAATTCATGAAGCATTCCATATTTAAAAAAAAAGTGAGGCAGGACTGGATTGAGGACCTGTTCCTAATTGAATAAGGTTATGGAATTTTGATATTTATAATTAACTGAACACTTAATTACAAAAGTGAGACTATTTTTATGACTAAATGTGGCTAATGATCTTTTTATTACCTGTGCATGATCATCAGCCTTATGGGATCTGCCTAAAAGTGCATCCTACAGAGGGATAGAGTTAGCAATACAGCTAGTTTAAAGGGGCAGTGAGGATCAAACATTTTTATATTTTCCTTAAGAGCTGCAAGTTGTGCAACAAATAGATTATATGATTATCTTATGTAAAACAAACTTGGGGCACAACATGTTTTTTCCATACAGTAGTTATAATATAGACCTTAATCTGCTTCTCGATGATTTGCAAGCATTATTACAAGAAACTGAAAGAGGGAGATTGAATTTGTGTGTCTGTGTGTGTGTGTGTGTGTGTGTGTGTGTGTGTGTGTG